TTATTGCTTCTGATGGTGGTGATCCTGTCCACTCTAGCAATTTGTGCATTCAGGTGGTAGTTCTGGATGCAAATGACAATCCACCAGTATTTACTCAGCCTGAGTATCAAGTAAGTGTTCAGGAGAACTTGCCGGTGGGCACCCGGCTGCTCACGGTGAATGCCACCGACCCTGATGAGGGATTCAATGCTCAAGTGTCCTATATACTAGATAAAATGCCTGGGAAGATCGCTCAAATTTTTGATCTCAACTCAGTGACTGGAGATTTATCAATATTAAAAAGTCTTGATTATGAGGATGCCATGTCCTATGAAATTAAAATTGAAGCACAAGATGGACCAGGTCTCCTTTCAAGAGCTAAGGTTCTGGTCACAGTTCTGGATGTGAATGACAATGCTCCAGAAGTTACAATCACTTCTCTCACAGAATCAGTCCCAGAAGAGGCTACCGCTGGATGGGAAATTGCCCTTATCAATGTGCATGACCGGGATTCTGAGCAAAATGGCCAAGTCACCATTTTTGTTCTGGGAAATATGCCATTTCATTTAGAAAAATCAATAAACCAGTATTACCGCTTAGTGACAGCAAGACCCCTGGACCGTGAACAGGTGTCTGAATATAACATCACTCTGAGAGCTACAGATGGGGGAAGTCCACCACTGTCCACGGACACTCACATTACCTTGTATGTGGCAGACATCAATGACAATCCACCTACCTTCACTCATGCCTCCTATTCTGCCTACATTCCTGAAAACAATCAGAGGGGAGCCTCTGTCTTCTCTGTGACCGCCCACGACCCTGACAGCATTGAGAATGCCCAAATCACCTACACTCTGACTGAGGATACCATCCAGGGGGTGCCTGTCTCCACCTATGTCTCCATCAACTCCGACACTGGAGTCCTGTACGCCTTGCATTCCTTTGACTATGAACAGGTTAGAGACCTGCAGCTACTGGTGACAGCCAGTGACAGTGGGAACCCTCCACTCAGCAGCAATGTGTCTCTGACTCTCTTTGTGATGGACCAGAATGACAATGCACCCGAAATCCTGTACCCTGCTCTCCCTACAGATGGTTCCACCGGCGTGGAGCTGGCACCCCGTTCCGCAGAGCCCGGCTACCTGGTGACTAAGGTGGTGGCAGTGGACAGAGACTCAGGCCAGAATGCCTGGCTGTCCTACCGCCTGCTCAAGGCCAGCGAGCCAGGGCTCTTCGCGGTGGGGCTGCACACGGGCGAGGTGCGCACAGCGCGGGCCCTGCTGGACAGAGATGCGCTCAAGCAGAGCCTGGTGGTGGCGGTCCAGGACCATGGGCAGCCCCCTCTCTCTGCCACCGTCACGCTCACGGTGGCCGTGGCTGACAGCATCCCAGATGTCCTGGCTGACTTGGGCAGCCTGGAAGTCCCACAGGGCTCTGATGCTTCAGATCTCACGCTGTACCTGGTGGTGGCGGTGGCTGCGGTCTCTTGCGTCTTCCTGGCCTTTGTCATCGTGCTGCTGGCGCTCAGGCTGAGGCGCTGGCACACGTCGCGCGTGCTGCAGGCTTCAGGAGGCGGACTGGCGGGCGTACCCGCCTCTCAGTTTGTGGGCGTGGACGGAGTGCGGGCTTTCCTGCAGACCTATTCCCACGAGGTGTCGCTCACCGCGGACTCGCGGAAGAGTCACGTGATCTTCCCGCAGCCCAACTACGCGGACACGCTCATCAGCCAGAAGAGCTGCGAGAAAAGTGAGCCTCTCTTGATATCTCAAGATTTACTTGAAATGAAAGGAGACCCCAAGCAACTTCAGGTGAGTTTGTTTCTTTCTTTGAATATCATGAAAAACAATTATGCCAGTGTGGTTATTATAAAGCTTTAATGCTCCTTTATTTGAAAAAAAAAAAGCAATGTGGTAGTCATTAGTTCTGTTTAAGTATGTGTTCCTTTTATCTTCTGGAATTATGGTGGGGCTGCACTTCCTGGCCTGGTAAGGCTGATGGGCCTATTAAATAGTTCTGACCTATACATTGTGAATGAAAATGTATGAGTCTCTTCCTGGAGGAAGCTCTAGTTGCCACTGTGAGAATTGTCAGACCCCTGACTTACTCTTTGAAATTGTGACTGAGCCTTCTACCTGGGTCCTTGAATAACTGCCATGAGAAAAGAGCCTTGGTTGACCCAGCATTGATCTGTATACCTGCGATATGTAGGCCTTTTTTCATTTTAAGTCCCTATAATGAAGTTTATCACTTCAGCCTACCTAGCCTATCCTGATATATATATATATATGGTATCTTAGGCTCTTATAATGTGATTCTTAACTCCTTACAAGCCAGACTGAATTCTCTTCAACCTGATGACATAAAAATGATAGGGTAAAAAAACATAGAGGTTGGTCAAATTCTTTTACCTAGCATGTAGTCTCTATTATGTATACTTAAAGTGTGTGTGTGTGTGTGTGTGTATTCATATGGATTCCAGCCTTTTGTCTGAACATGGGAAGCTCAATTGCCTAAACTGTTCTGAGCCTTGGAGTGACATTTCTTCTTCTTTGAGAAGGATTTTGAAATGTAAGGAGATATGTCTCAGCCTCTGTTAGAGATTTCCAGGCCATCCACTTCAACAATACTTTCTTGGGCTGGAAATTGTTGGCCCATTTTGAAATTTATGAAATTACATTCACCCATAAAGATGCATCAGAGAGTCATCCAAAATTAGGCAAAAATATATTTCATTAGATCTCAAACAGAGGAACACATCTCTCCCTCAATATATTAGGAAGAGGTACATTCAAAAATGTGGGACAACAGGGCCTGAGCAAAATAACTGAAAGCAGAGAAGTGTGTATTCTCATTCAAGCATGCAAATGCATCACAGAAAAAAAGCATGTTACCATTGGAATAATTTTTAAGGAAAAATCTTTACAATATTAATATAAATTTCCTTGTAATGAGAAAAAATATTAAATGGCTAGTGCCAGGGGAACTTTAGACATCCAAAGATAATTTTCTAAGGATTCCATATACAATGTAGCTACATATCTATACATTGTTAAAATGCACAGAGTACAATGACATCTAGTTGAATATAGAATACAGATAATAAGGAGTCTCAGACATCCCATTTTTTGCTAAAAAGTAATTTTTTAAATGATGGGCAAGAATTCATTACAATAGAAAGGAAGGAGGGTTTTAGAAAAAGGAACAGAAAGTATAAAGTTATGAAGTTGGGACAACAAGGGAAGGATGTCTTAGGAAAACATAACAGTCTGTCTTGACTGGAGTATAAGATGAGTATGGATTAGCACTGCAAAATAATAGAATAAATTGTTGAGTTGGTGTCTAATTTGGTAGTGCATTTGAAATAAAAGTATTTGTTTTAGTTACCCAAGATCAGTTCAGGGATTACAGGTAAGTTTCAAAATGAAGTGTCCAAGAAGTGTCAATGCCTCTCCAGGATTTACCAGTGATCAACTCAAACTCACTTCATTTAATAATGGTATAAACAGACTGGAGCTCAGAATTGGCACTAAGGAATATTGTGTATAC